TCCCAGAATTCCTCAGCCAACCTTGGCTACTTTAAGACTTGAGGACATCAACTCCCAGAATTCCTCACCAACATTGGCCACTTTAAGACTTGAGGACTTCAACTCCCAGAATTCCTCAGCCAACCTTGGCCACTTTAAGACTTGAGGACTTCAACTCCCAGAATTCCTCAGCCAACCTTGGCCACTTTAAGACTTGAGAACTTCAACTCCCAGAATTCCTCAGCCAACCTTGGCCTCTTTAAGGCTTGAGGACATCAACTCCCAGAATTCCTCAGCCAACCTTGGCCTCTTTAAGACTTGTGGACTTCAACTCCCAGAATTCCTCAGCCAACCTTGGCCTCTTTAAGACTTGTGGACTTCAACAAATCTTAAAGTTGCCAAGTGGAAGTTGAAGTCCACAAGTCTTAAAGTTGCCAAGTTTAGAGACCTCCACCTTAGGGATTCAGTTGCTTCTTATCTGTCTCCCAAGGGGGTCTTTTAAACAAGATCCCTGATTTTTCCACCCCTCACCTTCCTTATGTGCCTCCTTCGTCTTTAGGTAGGCCAGCTTCGCCTCACACTTGTGTCCGTGAAAATGGCATTTTCTGTCTCATTGCAGAGATTGTGAACTACGAGTTTGACACCAAGGATCTTTTCTGCCTGGCCTTGAGCAGCGTTGTGGGTGTCTGGTACCTGCTGAGGAAGGTAGGCTGACCTGCTGGCGAGGCAGCTGGAATGTTTAATAGCACTTTATAATCCCTGGATATTTCCACTTGGAATAGTGTATCCAGTTTTGGTTGCCACGATATAAAAAAGATGTTGAGACAGTAAGAAAATGAATGCGAAATATATTATTGAAAGTCAATAATTTTAATGTTAAGGCTAATATAATAAGTGATATATGTGATATAAAATACTGATTAGAATGATCATAAATATAAGTGAAATATGTATGGTGATGTTATTATGCGCATAAAGAAATGTATACCGGACTGACACACCGATGAACAGAAAAAAGGCTTTATTTGTTTGTTTTATTGTTGTTATAAAAATAAAAATTTTACTTTAAAAGAAAAAGAAAGAAAAACCAATTGCACAGGTGATATAACTCGCTCAACAGTAGTAACTGTGAGAGGGATCTTGGAGTCTTACTGGACAATCACTTAAATCTGAGCCAGCCGTGCGCTGCAGCTGCCAAAAAAGCCAACCCAGTTCTAGGCTGCATCAACAGAGGGATAGAATCAAAATCACCCGAAATGTTGAGACCACTTTATAAGGCCTTGGTGAGGCCACACCTGGAATTCTGCGTCCAGTTTTGGTCACCACAATACAAAAAAAAATAAAAAAATGTTGAGGCTCTAGACCAGGGGTGTCCAACCTTGGCAACTTTAAGACTTGTGGACTTCAACTCCCAGCAAAGCTGGCTGAGGAATTCTGAGAGTTTGAAGTCCACAAGTCTTAAAGTTGCCAAGGTTGGACACCCCTGCTCTAGACCGAGAGGATTAGGGGACTGGAGGCTAAAACATACGAAGAAGAACGGTTGCTGAACTGGATATAGAGTGCTGAAAGCCAGGACAAGTAGATTTAAACATAGCTTTTACCCAAGTGCTGTGATCAGGTTAAATGCAGAGTTATGAATCTGGTGGTCTTAACATATATATATCCTGGTTGTACAGTTTTTAACTGTTATTTGTTTTACATTGTTATTGTATATGTCTTTTGGTTGTTGTTCAGTTGTATGAGAGCACCTTATTTCGTTGTTCTCAGGTTTCTGAGTACAATGACAATAAATTTATCTATCTATCTATCTATATCTATCTATCTATCTATCTATCTATCTATCTATCTATCTATCTATCTATCTATCTATGTCTAATCTAATGAAAAGAAGGAATAGAGGTAACGTGAGAGTGGTCTTCCAATATTTGAGCGGCTGCCACAAAGAGCAGATGGTCAATTTTTTTCCCAAAGCATCATGAAGGCCAGACAAGGAATAATGGATGGAAATTAATGAAGGAGAGAAGCAACCTAGAATTAAGGAGAAACTTCCTTAACAGCGAGGACAATTAACCAGTGGAACAGAAGTTGTGGGCGCTTCCAACCCTGGAGGTTTTTAAGAAGAGACTGGAGAGCTGTTTGTCTGAAGTGGTGTAGGGTTTTCCTGCTTGAGAAGGGGGTTGGACTAGAAGACCTCCAAGGTCCCTTCCAACTCTTGTTATTCTGAGGCCAGGCAGCTTGGGCAGGCTGCAGACAGGAAGATCTGCAGAACCAAAGCGCTGGGATTGCTCTCCCAGCTAAGGATGTGGGTTGTGGGGTCTGTAAGTGATGCTCACAACCGTCGTCCTTTTTCTTCCAGCACTGGATTGCCAACAACCTCTTCGGCCTGGCCTTCTCTCTCAACGGGGTGGAACTGCTGCACTTAAACAACGTCAGCACGGGTTGCATCCTCCTTGGAGGCCTCTTCATCTACGATGTCTTTTGGGTAAGCGGTTGGTTCCCAGGCTCGGCAGATCCTCCGGGCAATATCCTTCGCTTTTCATCCTGCCACTTTTTCGTTATTTCTATCAGCCTCTCAAGATGGTGGGTGCATTTTCCCCACAACAACAATCCTGTAAGGTGGGTTGGACTGAGAAAGAGGAGCTGGCCCAGAGCCACCCAGCTGGCTTTCATGCCTAAGGCAGGACTAGAACTCACTGTCTCCTGGGGATTGGCCCAAAGTCACCCAGCTGGCTTTCATGCCTAAGGCGGGACTAGAACTCACCGTCTCCTGGGGATTGGCCCAAAGTCACCCAGCTGTCTTTCATGCCTAAGGCAGGACTAGAACTCACCGTCTCCTGGGGATTGGCCCAAAGTCACCCAGCTGTCTTTCATGCCTAAAGCAGGACTAGAACTCACCGTCTCCTGGGGATTGGCCCAAAGTCACCCAGCTGTCTTTCATGCCTAAGGCGGGACTAGAACTCACCGTCTTCTAGTGATTGGCCCAAAGTCACCCAGCCTGCTGTCATGCCTAAGGCTGGACTAGAACTCACTGACTCATGCATAGTTTGCAGGAGCTTCTCCTTAATCCAACTCCTTGTCGGGGCCTACCTGTCTTTGGAAAGTCACCTGGTCTGGATAAAAAAAAAAAAGGTGTTGAGTTGTAACGGAGAAGAGTTTTGGTGGTGCCCAGGGAAAAGGAACGCAGTGGGAATGTGGGAACCATGAATTGGGGAGGGCGGTCGGCATGTGAGGACCTCCACTCTTGAGGCCTGTGAAGCTCAACCTCCGGTCCATTCTTTGCTCTACTCAACCTTCACAAGAGCTCATGACTCCAGAACGCTCAGAAGAACAACAGAAAACGAGACTCTCTTGCAAATACGCTTCATCTGGTGGATTGCCGCCTGCCGGTCACCCCTCTTCTTTAATTCCTCTTCCCTAGGTCTTTGGCACCAACGTGATGGTGACCGTGGCCAAGTCATTCGAAGCCCCCATCAAACGTGAGTAGCTAACAAAAGCCCCCACTCCCAGGAGTGGGATTCAAAATTTTTAACAACCAGTTCTGTGGGCGTGGCTAGAGCGCGTGGCTAGGGGTGTGGCCATATACCTGGGTGGGCGTGGCTTCTTTTTTTCCCTTTATCTTTCTTTCTTTTTTTTTTTTGCCTCCTGGGCTTCAGGGAAGGCTTCTGGGGGGGGATGTTTTTGCTCCAAAAGTCTTCCCTGGGGCCCAGGAAGGCAAAAACCGGGGCGCGGGTGGGGCAGCCCCCCCCCCCCCGCCCCTGCATGCCCCTTTTTGCCTCCTGGGTTTCAGGGAAGCCTCCTGGGCGAAGCAGTAAGATAGCGAGGGGGATCCCAGTACAGCTGATCATTGGAACAGCTGATCATTGGAACAGCTGATCGTCGATCAACGGAACAGCTGATCGTTGGGAGGAGAAAAAAGGAAGAAATACTTTAAGGCAGCAGTTGCCAACCGGTGGGCCGCGAGAAAATTTTGGTGGTGCGGAGAGATCTCTCCCCCCCACCGCCCCCCCCCCCAAAGCAATCAATCCAGGCTGCTTGGGAACACAAGGCTGCGCCGCCCACATGGCCCGCGAGAACCCTCCCCGCCCACTCACTCCTTACCTGGCAAACTTTCCTGCCAAACTGCTTATTTTTCTGACCCTCATCTGTTCTACTGTGCCGGGAGATTTAGATTAGCTAGGAAGCAGGAAATGGTTGGATTTCTTGCTTTCTAGCTAGTCTTTAGATCTTCGGCTCTGCTTTTAAGCACAGCCGAACCTCCCTTAGGACTGAAGGTTCTCTTATTCAGTGCAGACTCACGGCAAGCAAATGTTATGTGACAGACTGAGCTAGCCGATGGCAGACAGATAAATCTCTGAGTGAATCTGTGATTCTGTGAGCAACTCAATCTGCCTGCCTTCTTTGCCTGATTTGGGGTAAAAGTTGTTCTTTTTTTATAAAAAAATAATCAATACTTACATAAATATTTATAATGTTTACATACAAGCTGTATGTAAAATGTCTATCCTGGTTTATATATTTTCCAACCCAACTGTTAGGTGACTTTCATTCCTAACAGCTTTTGTGCCTGTTTCAGGGGCTCCTCCGCCCGAAATGGGCCCGGCGTTGGGGTTTTTCCATTGGTCTTCCTCACCACCACCATTTCTTTTCCCTCTTCTTCCCCTGCAGTGGTTTTCCCCCAGGATCTGCTGGAGAAGGGCCTGGAAGCCGACAACTTCGCCATGCTGGGCTTAGGAGACATTGTCATTCCCGGTAAGGAATGCTATAATATAAGGGTTGGGGTAAATTAATTTTCTTTCTTTCTTTCTTTCTTTCTTTCTTTCTTTCTTTCTTTCTTTCTTTCTTTCTTTCTTTCTTTCTTTCTTTCTTTCTCCTCTCCCACATTCCTTCCTCCCTTCCGTCCTTCTTTCCCACACTTCTTTCTTTCTCTCCCACCTTCCTTCCTTTCTTTTTCTCTTTCTCTCTCCTTCCTTTCTTCCTTCTCTCCCAGCTTTCTTTTTCTCTTTCTTTCTTCTTTCCTTCCTTCCTTCTCTCTCCCACACTCCTTTCTTC